TCTCCCTTCCTCTCTCTGAAATCAATTATATATATATTAAAAACATTCTTGTATGTGTCTAATCTATTGGTGGACACATGACCTGTTTCTCCTGGGTAACGCCTGGGAGCGGAATTGCTGAGTTGTAGCGTGCACATTGTTCAGCTATGGTTCCCTGGAGTGGTTTTAGACCAATTTACAGTCCCATCTGCTGTGCGTCTGTCTTTATCTTTCTGGGTCTTTCTCCCTTCGTCTCTGTCTACCTCCCTCGGTCTCCGTCCTCCCTGTATTAGTCCTCAGCCTCCCTCTCCTTCTCCATCCCCAAAAAGCCTTGACTCCTGTGTGTCCTGGAGGGGTGCCCTCCTCTCACCCAATCTTCCCCCTCCTCCCCCGCAGGACCCCGCCACCCTCCATGGCTCCCCTGGCCTTGGTGGGATTTGCGCTCCTCCTGGGGGCTCCCCCCTGCTCGGGGGCAGCTACCCCGACCCCCTCTCTGCCACCTTCCCCCACCAATGACAGCGATACCAGCACGGAGGTCTGCCAGGGTTCCAACCGCTGCCAGCCCGGGGTCCTGCTGCCCGTCTGGGAGCCCGATGACCCATCGCTGGGCGACAAGGCCGCACGGGCCGTGGTCTACTTTGTGGCCATGGTCTACATGTTCCTGGGCGTGTCCATCATCGCCGACCGCTTCATGGCCTCCATCGAGGTCATCACGTCGAAGGAGAAGGAGATCACCATCACCAAGGCCAACGGCGAGACCAGCGTGGGCACCGTCCGCATCTGGAACGAGACCGTGTCCAACCTCACGCTCATGGCCCTGGGCTCCTCTGCGCCCGAGATCCTGCTGTCGGTCATCGAGGTCTGCGGCCACAACTTCCAGGCGGGCGAGCTGGGCCCGGGCACCATCGTGGGCAGCGCGGCCTTCAACATGTTTGTGGTCATCGCCGTGTGCGTGTACGTCATCCCGGCCGGCGAGAGCCGCAAGATCAAGCACCTGAGGGTCTTCTTTGTCACGGCCTCTTGGAGTATCTTCGCCTACGTCTGGCTGTACCTCATCCTGGCCGTCTTTTCCCCGGGGGTGGTCCAGGTGAGCACGGCCCGTGGACACCGCCTCGGTGCATGCATGTCTGCAAAATCCAGAGGGGGGGCGCCCTGGGCTTGGGGGACCGGTTCAGGTGTCGGCACAAATGCAGACTCAGACCCCAGAGGGCGCCCGGTCACGCCCTGAGCAAGAGTTTCCGGCTGGGGAGGGAGGGCAAGTGGAGTCCCGAGGGTGCTCCCAAGCCATGTCTAGATGGTGCTCCAGGCCCTGGAAAGGGCTCCTCTGCTGGGGGGGGAGGAGGGAGTGGGTGGGGGGTGTGTGCCACCGGCAATATTCCCACCCAGAAGGCCCCACCTTTTAACTCTCACAAGGGAGCCCCGTGTGCTAAGGATCCCTGTGGTCTCTGTAACGCATCCTGCCGTTCCAGTAGCCAGCTATTTGCTCGGTGTGGTCGCGTTCTCCTCCTCGCCCTGTCCTTTGCATTATTTATTTCTCCATTTTCCAGAAGACACGCCCCCTTTGCACAAGTCATGCTCCGGTCGCATAAGCCAGCCTTGTGTTTTCTGACAGTGCTAATTGCTTTGGGCAACGGGTGCAATTTGCATAACTTATCCGTGGACACGCACAGATACATGCCCGCATCTGCCGCCTCTAACTCTGAATGCCCCGGGCAGGCAGTCGTGGCTTGCACCCTCCATTCACCATTCACCAGTGATTTCTGATGTTCGGATAATTTATGCCACTTGACTGTAGTTTATACTCACATCAGCACAGGTAGAAGCCCAGTCCGCAGCAAAGCCCACTTTGCATAATTTATTCCAATAGTGAGACAAAACTGAGACTGAGCTGCGTAATTTACACCCACATTCACATGCTCATCTGCCTCTCGTTTGTCCAGTGTCTTAACCGGCCTACTGTCTAGCCTTCGTTTAAAACAGCGGTTCTCAACCTGTGGGTCGAGACCCCTTTGGGGGTCGAACGACCCTCTCACAGGGGTCGCCTAAGATCACCGGAAAACACATATATAATTACATATTGTTTTTGTGATGAATCACTATGCTTTAATTATGTTCAATTTGTAACAATGAAATTGGGGGTCACCACAACATGAGGAACTGTATTAAAGGGTCGCGGCATTAGGAAGGCTGAGAACCACTGGTTTAAAACATCTGCCTAATTTATTTCCCACAATCCCGGAGACTGCGGCCTATATTTGCATAATTTATTTATGGGCCTGCCTAATTCATTTGCACACATGCATAATTTATTTGAAGCTACCCAGGATGCCTTCACACGTGTGTAATCTATTCATGCATATCTGTCAGGTTTTACCAGTTAATGTTTCTTTCCGGGAAGGATCTGGAGGTAGAGGCATAAAAATTCTTTGCAGATGATACAAAGGCAGAACTGAGGGATGAGAAGGCAGAGAGGAGAGGGGGAGATGGCGGCGGCGGCAGCAGACAGGGGGGAGGGAGGGAGGGACAGTCACTGCGACGGACCTGTTACTGTGACCCTGAGCTTCCTGGCTTCATGGCCAATAGTACAGAGCAATGTGTCACAGGTTTTTTTTGTGTTTAGTTTTAATTTTTATTTATCTATTTTAGAGGAGGGGGTGGAGGGAGAGAGAGAGACATTAATTTGTTGTTTCCCTCATTTATGCATTCATTGGTTGATTCTTTTTAAAATATATATATATATATATTTTATTGATTTTTTTACAGAGAGGAAGGGAGAGA